CCAGGCACTGAAATGGGCTGCCCAGGGAGGTGGTGGGGTCACCCGCATGGGAAGTGTTTTGGAAATGTTTAGATGTTGCACTAAAGGACATGGTTTAGTGGGCACATGCTGGTGGTAGGTGGATGGTTGGACTGGATGATCTTGGAAGTCTTTTCCAACCTTGGTGATTTTGTGATTCTATCTTTAAAAAAATCTCCAAAGAGATAAAAGAATGAGTAACTGTGATTCTACTACAAAATAGGGCAGTAATAAAAACACGGTCATATTTTTGCCAAATTGAAGCCAGTGCCCTCTCGTACTGTGTACTATTCAGCTCCATTTGCTAAACATAAGGTCATTGTGGTTAAAAAGATCCTGGTTTACTATCTTTGCTTGGTGTGTTCATCTCAGAGGGACATATTACATTCAAGATAAAGATAATCTGCTTCGGAAAATGGAGCAGAGTGTTGAATGCTCTGATAGCTTAATTGGTTTTCACATCAGATCTGCCCCCTGAAATACAAGTACTTCCTATACTGTGTTAACGCCCTGTATCACCAGCTCTGATGACTTTTATGTGCATTTCTACCTGAGTACATTTGCATTTTAAGAGCTTTGTGAAATTACCAGGTAAGTGAAGAAAGTGACAAATACAGAACGGGTGCCACTTCCTTGATTTTATTTTTTTTCTTAACAGAGGGGCTCTTCCCTTCTTTTTTAAACACTCGTTTATAGCCTTTGCAGTGTGCCAGTATTAAAAAAAAAGAAAGAGGAACATTTACACAATAAACCCGTCGCCCATCCTGTCATTTTCCACATCCCCATTGTAATTATTTGAAATCCTTGTGCTTGAAGAGGAGTTTTTCTCCCTCCCAACCCAAATTCTATTTTGGGAGTAGACTTGTAATTGTGTGTTTGTTAATATAGCTGTCTGTTGCCATGAACAAAGTGAGGTCACCAGTTTTCAATTACTGCTTTGCCACAGACTTAAGGGCTTTCAAACACTTTCTTAAATGTACTACTTTTCACTTTACATCATTTCATTTTGTTCTGCTCTTACGGTGCTTTCAATCAAAATGATATCAAGGAAAAATATCTATCATAAAATAGCATATTTTGATGGGCTGGGAGTTGTACGACTGTCAGACCTGTCTGTGACTTTTGTGTTTAATACACAGCGTTCACATGTTCTCCTTTAGAGACTTGGCAAGGGTTTTCCTGGAAGTATGTTGAGAATTAATGCATAATTACCATTTAAAAATGTTTTATTTGCCTAACTCAGTGTTATTTTTTTTAAAAAGCTCATCGGTTGCATGTTATGTTGTAGCTCATCGGTTGCATGTTATGTTGTACTGTAGCATCCAGAGCTCAAAATGTTTATATTTTGAATCTGTATTTATGCACTTTTAAAACTTGAGTAGAGTCCAGCAGACCACTATCATTTAGTTTATCAGTGCTAAGGCTTATACTGCCTTTACAGTATCCTCTGATTGTTACTGTGCTGGCTTTCTCCCATCTACCCCAATACTCCTTGAAGGTTTTTTTAATAATTGGTATGTTCTGAATTAGATGAATGGGTTGAAAATGTGAGGCAAATTTCTGATGAATACAAATTGCCACTGTTACCTCGAGATCAGCAGGTTGTGCCACAATTCAAGCCAGACACAAGGCTGACTGAGAACATCCAACCTGATCTGTGATTGAGCGACCCACGGGGAGGAGGGAAAGGCTGTTGATGTAGTCTGCCTAGACTTTAGCAAAGCCCTTGGCATTGATTCCCATCGTATTCTCCTGGAGAAGCTGCAGCCCATGGCCTACACAGGTACTCTGTTTGCTGGGTGATAGGAGGATGTTTGGATGATCTTGGAGGTCTTTTTCAACCTTGGTGATTCTATGGTTCTATGGTCTTAAGCTGAGATGGGAGGTTTAGGATAGATATGAGAAGGAAGTTTTTCAGCCAGAGGCTGGTGAGGCACTGGAACAGGTTGCCCAAGGAGGCTGTGGATGCCCCATCCCTGCAGGTATTCAAGGCCAGGCTGGATGTGGCTCTGGGCAGCCTGGGCTGCTGGTTGGTGACCTGCACACAGCAGGGGGTTGGAACTGGATGAGCATTGTGCTCCTTTGCAACCCAGGCTGTTCTATGATTCTGTGATCTGTACAACTTCACTACTTGAAACTCTCAGGAGTTGCATTACCTTCTAATAACTCCAAGCCATCAGTTTCTACAAGGCTGAAGACAAGCACAGAAACATAAACAGGGCCATGGAAGAGATAAAATTTATGATACAAAATCACTTTTTTTTTTTTTTTTTTTTTGGAAAAGCTGTTTCAGATATTCCTACCCTAAAACCAACAGCATTAAAAACAAGCATACATTTAGCACCATGTGTTTTTGGTTGATTTCTGTCACAACAGTATTCCCTCTCTTGTTGTAAAGCAGGCATTGGTTCCAAAGACAGATTTGATTGCAATGTGAATGAAAAAAAGGATTTAGCCCTATTATGGAAGGACCTCGTTCCAATTTAAAAAAAGGAAAGAAAATTTACAAAGAAATTTTTTTTAAAAAAGCAGTATGAAATTAATGGATTACATGGAGATGAGTTTTGCCATATCAATTAGGTTCTTCGAGCATATAAAAATATATCCACTTATTAGTCAAGACATTAGAAAAGTTGGAAAATGGAGTTCTGGCACTGCTGAATGGAGAATTCAGCCACTGAAGGCATCTCTGCAAGAACTGAAACACAGCAAAGGTTGAAACCAAGTCTTCATGGCCATTCAGAAGTTTGTTAATCTGTGATGTTAAACTGATGTGAGTTCTAATGGAGTGATCTGAAATTTAGCAGATATCATCCTCCACTTTTTGGTTATGAAAGATCTGGCTCAAGAACCAATGATTCCTATTGAAGATACTGCTTTAGTGTATTTGAACACATTTAATTTTAAGTGTTTCTCCAGGAGATGTTCAGAATCAGTATTTTTATCTATCTAACTGAGTGGTTTCAGACTACAGTCCTATGAGTTGAGGCAAAGGCCACCACTGGGAGCCAGCAGTCAGCATTTTTCCACCTCACTGCAGGTAGATCTACGTACTAACGCTGACTTAAAAGTCTCGTGGCTTAAATTTAAGTTTTCTCTTTTAATGTAACTTAAAAATTGGAGATGGAAAATTCCACGCAGGGACAACACAGAATGGGTGGCACCTGATAGCCAAGATACCAGAACGAACAGACGCTTCCTATTTACTTGTCATCAGTGGATCTCTTCACAGTCTAGCAGAAAACAAAACACGTTGTTAGAGTTATCTGATGTCTTTACAATGCACGAAGACCACTTTTGGTAAGCTGATGCCTTTTGTCATAACAACGAATACACCTGCACTGATGTTGGTAAGTCTTTGGGGGTATGAATCATAATCTTCAAACGATTCAGAATGGATGTAAATCATCTAGCTATATGCCTGATGTTTGTTTCCTCATCAGCAGAGATGATTTGAAAGGCAGATGTGCTTCTCCTTAAAAATCTGAGATACACCTCTAATCTCCCATATTGTTTGTACCTACAGATGAAATTAGAACTTCCTCCTATTGTCTTTCTCTTATGTCCCATCGTCCCTAACTGACGCATATTGTATAGTCTACTCATTTCAAATGAGGCAACGGCATTTTCAAGATGAAACTGTTTCTCAAACTGAGAAATGGCTGAAATCCAAAGATTATTATCGCTCCATCCATTCCTCACAGCGTTGCATGGGAGAATTTTCCATATCATGGACACGCTTTCTGAGGTCTTTTCTTTGATTTCCCACTAGCAGGAGAAATTATCATGACAATTTTTTTTTGTAATGAGACTAACCTGTAAATTATCATTAAAATTAAAAATAAAATGAGAATTGATGGCTAAGACAAATTTGTCTTTAATCTTCTTTTCAAATTTCTTCACAGAGCATGTATAGCAATATTGAAGGGAAAATTCAAGCTAGCTCTAGTGTAACCAGCTGAAATTAACTGTTGCTTTATAGCAAGCAATGCATTTTCTTTTTTTTTTTAACTAATCATGCTAATTAGAAAGAACCATAGATATTGATGTGCACAGGAGACTTTGCAAGACAAATGAGAGGTGGAAGGCTGTATGTATGGAGAAGAACCCAGTTTTAATTGATGACCATTCAGGCATTCTCTCTATTTTTATGATGATACCCAAATAGGGATATGTGAAAGCAATTGAGATCAACAAAAGAAATAGCTTTTTTATGAAGCACAGAATTAATGTGTTTTGTTTTTTTTTTTTTGCCATAGCTGAGAATTTAGTAGACTGTTTGTTCTCCAGACCAGATTAGAAATTTATTTATGTATAGCATAATTTTTGCAATGACATTATATCTGTATGATAAAAATGGTCACAGTTACAATCTTCATGTTTTAGGGCATTGGTCAAATGAATTTAATAATTCCAGCAGTTATGGGAGAGAGAAACTGGTTTGGGTAGATACTACTCCTTAAGGATCACTACTGCAATTTCACTGAGTTCTCTCTGGTTTCAGAAAACAGAAGATGGGACCAGGTGACAGGATTATAAATTTGTACACCCGCAGACTTTTTCTATCTTCTTTTCATGGGGAATATAGTGCATAGATAATATCATTCAGAGTGTGTGGGTATATCCCAAGGGTTAATGACAGGAATGACAAATAAACTCATTTTTTCAGAGCATTGTGTCTTGCTCGTAGTATAAGGCAAATTGCCCAGTAGTTTTAACTGCTTAAGTTCTAGTTTGTGGTGATAATGGCTTTTCTTCTCCTATACAGCTCTTTTCTTTGTTCTAGATCTCACTATTGCTTGCTATGGCTTTAATTGAGATCTATCCTTCTACTCTATGGAAAAATGTCATCTTGAAAAATGTTCCAAAATGTAAAGTTATATTCGTATTGGAGAAGAAGTATTTTTCTTCCCCAGGCTTTAGAGATATTAAAACTTATGAAAAGAGGCAACTGTGCTTGAGCATCCCCTGTTCCTTTGCAGGGTGCGCAATGATTTCGACGTCCTCACGAACCGGCTGATCGGCAGCCACGGCTACTGCACTCAGGTAAGGGAAACACGGAGCCCTGGAGGTGTTGTGTGCCTCTGCTCAGAGAGCTGTGTGCTCACCTCTGGGAGGAGATGGCATTTCTTACACGCGCACTCACACACCTTTGCGCGTGCATTGGAAAAACTCAGCTGATTTTAAATACGTCGCCAACAGGAATTAGTGAACTTGCTGTTGACTGGCAAAGCTGTGTCCAATGTTTTCAACGATGTGATAGAGCTGAATTCTGGAAATGGAAACATCACCATTCTGAAAGGCATCACAAGCCGCAGTGACATTGGTTTGCTGTCTCTCTTTGAGCACTACGACGTCTGCCAGGTATGTTTTCCATTCTTCTGATTTTAATCAAAAAGGAAACAATTAACAACTTCAAAATTGGCTTGGAATGAGTACAGAAATTAAGAAATTGTGAGCTTGACTCTGCTGCCCACTTAGATGGTTCCAGTGCAATTTTCAGATGCCCCAAGGCAAAGTGTGGTCAACTTCTGGATGCAGGTCCTGTGTTACACAACCCTCTGTAAATGGCTTGGGCAATCTCTGAGCATCTCAGACGTTCTGTGCCTACGTGTTTTTCTAACTGATCTCCTGCAGTGGCAGTCAGCTTGCCGGCTAACACATTTCTCTTTCAGTGTCTGCTGTTCCCCTGATTGTATTCACCAAATCTCTGCTGATTATAGAGGAGTTGAGGTGCCCAGCTCACACGTGGGTGCTTATATTCTGGTCATGTAAACATAACTGTATGTGGAGCTGATGCTTACCTTAAGTGTTGGTTTTCCATTAGTTTGTGTGACTGGGAGCCAGACTGATTGCATCATCTAATTCATACTGGAATGCTGGAGGTTGTCATACTGTGTTAGAAATAATAACAGACAATGGATGTAGCTGGCAACAGAACTGGAACGTTCCCTTTAATATGTTTTTGAAATTAATATTTTAATTTCTGTTTATCGTGAATTGAGAAAGATTACAATTTCAAAGAAGCAGCAGCCATTAATTTATCTCTGGAAAAACTTGCGTGAGGATTTCTCTGATTTCTCCATCAGCAGATCTTATCATCACGATGGACATCTTTCCTAATGACATATTCTATCTAAAACAGACAGTCTTGTGTCTGATGCTGGGATTTTCTTTGAAGCCTGTGTTAGATGCTAGCTGAGATAACTGTAATGGTCCCATCTGGATTTGCCATCAGTGCCTCTATACAAATTGGAAGGTGATTAGCAGAGTCTGTTTGTACTTGTCTAATATAAATATGTGTCTGAAAACAGAGTTACATTTTCACTGTTTCCCATATGGCTGAAAGCAGTTCCGTTTTCGTACTACTGAAAATTCTAATTCCTCTTATTTCTAATTAATGCAATGCTTTACATCATTTACAAGGTTATAATCAGGCTTAAATTCAGTAAATAAAGCGTATCTCAACATTTCCAATTTGGACTAATTTGGAGCAAACTGGAGTAAAAATAAATTAGCTTCAATGTCTATTTCAAGCTTGCGGTCCTTTCCTATAAAGAATGTAACACTTAAAACCTCAAATAAAAAGGTTTGCAGTAGCATTTTTTCCACTCTCCAGTGAGAAAAACGACTTCTAAATAGCAAGATGGTCATTGAGGTCAGTGCAGCGAAGAGCTATTTCTTTCTCATCCAGGAGCAAAATAAAAAGTTGCTCAGAGAATCAGACACTGTCTTCCACTCACTCTGCAAATTACACAGTGGAGGGGGTCCGTCCATCCTTCTGTCTGGACTTGGGAGCAGGGATCTGTTTTCCATGCCAGAGGCTCTTAATCAGCTACAGAAGCCCCAGTACATGTTGTCTTCTCTTTTGTTTTTTGTTTTGTTGAGCCTACACCAGTTAGGCATCCGATGCCAATTGTCACGCTTTTTATTAAGAACATCTGTGAGCATTGCAGTACGTCTCGGTGCACATTGCATGGCCTGACTGAGGGCTGGGCACACGTCAGTTCCTGCTGGAGTTTAGCTTCAAGTCTGGGCAGTCCCTACCACAGCTTTGGTGCAAGGGGCCAGATTCTTCTTTCTGTTTCAAACCTATTTGTTTAGGAAATCAAATGGCACTGACAGTTTGCTGTGTTAGAGCTGGGAAAAGAATTTGCCTGCAAGTCTTCCTAGTGGACCGTTTTCTTCCTCTTTGTATTTCAGTAAGTAGATCCAGCCTCCAATTACATTGTGGCTGTGAGGATGGCTGAAACCAGAAATGGAAAAGAACTGTAATTTATCTTTTTTTTTTCCCCAAGGAGTAAGAAAATCCTGAGCGTGATATATGGTGAATCATAGGCATTAGAGTTGGAAAACTCCCTCTAGGTCAAACCCAGCCAATTTCTCAGGGGATGATGCAGGATATTTTTGTGTCCTGTTGCAAAGCAGGCTCTCTTTAAAAAACCCCTATTCATTCTAGTGGTTGGCAACCCTGCACATAGCAGGGGGTTGAAACTAGATGATCATTGTTGTCCTTTTCAACCCAGGCCATTCTATGATTCTATGAACTCTTGCCATCAGATAGCTGTTTATTTGTTGATTGTAGTGCATCTAATTATGATTTTGCCTTTTTTCTCGTGCGCTTACTTTAGAATATGAGGAAGTGCAAAAAGAGACTGGCAGGTACCTCTGAATGTGGAGATTTCGATGTTACCTACCATACAGCTTGTACTTGGGACATACTGCCTCATGTTAAACCTGATGTTCCATTTATTTTTAAATATTCTTATATATTTCATCTTCCTCGTCTAAAATATGGGGTATTCATATATAAGGCACAGTTTTCTTGGCATATCTTTGGAGCTGAGAGCACTGCAAGGGCATGAGAATGGAGTTAATCCTTCTGTCAAATGTCAACAGTAGCAAATAAGAACAAAATGTCCCTTTTCCACCCATGATTCCTGAAGAATCCCTCTGTTGCTGATCCAGCAGTCTCTTTCAGTGAATCATGCTGAATGTGTTATCTTTGCTGATTGGAAAAACGTGTTCTTCATGTAATTTGTCTGGAACTGTTAATGTCCAATCATCACTCTTAGTCCTAGCATTACCATGTTCAATTTAGTCTTTGTAGTGTAATTACTTGTTGTGCATTTTTTTTTTTTTTTTGACAATGACAGATGGATTTATTCAGTGTAATTCATATGCAAACATTTAGTTTCACAGTGAAATTCCACATTTTTATGCAAAAAAGCTAAAAATCTGTACTGTTCCTTCTCTGTAGGCAAGTCACAGATGTTTGGATTTCTTCCTTTGTGTATTCAAACTACATATATTAGTTCCACCTGATCCTACACGAACTGAGAAGACTTCATTAAAATTGTGGGCTTTCTGGTATTTTTTTAATGCTCTATAAATTGCTGTAACATTTTTAAAAGCTGGTCAACCCACCTAAAGCTGGGCAGGCTTCCCTCTGTCTGCTGGCTGGCAGCGTGCAGCGGGTCCATAGTAGTCTGAGGAGCTGCATGGTTTCTGCAGTGGGACAAGACCTCGGGTAAAAATGCCAGGTGCAGAAGTGTGCAGGACCAATGCAGAGGTCATATGGGAGAAAGTCCCTGCTTTTTGGTCAGTCCTTGGCATTGCAGTAACATTTTACATGGGAGGTGATAGATGAACAAAAGGCAAAGTGCTTATCTCTGGTTCATTCAATGAGCTAGAGGTTCAACTTGAGGAAGGTACAGCTCTTCTGAATGTCTGGTTTCGTGGTTTGTACAATGCTGGCCGATTTGGCCTTCTGAAATGCTTTCTGAAAACACTACCAGTATGTACTGTTACACCTCCTAATGTAAGTATTTGAGGCTGCTCAGCTCTTTCAGATGAGGACTCTGATTCTTGTAGGAGTTGGACTAAATGGTCCTTATGGGTCCCTTGTAATTCAGGATATTCTGTGATTCTGTGATTTTTGGTCTTTCCTGCTCCTGCTCTTAGGCAGCCCTGCTATCACAGAGAAGCCAGCTATCTATAGGTGACCTCCCAGGCTCACCATATTCTGATTCCTGACAGCATGCAAATCCATGCATCAGCTGTCAGCATTTCAAAAGAGACTGCTTTTTAGTGTTCATGTTTCTGAAAATGAAGAGAAAACAGTGTTGACAAAGAGATTACAGTCATTTTTTCGTGTCTCTTTTCAGAAGGAGAAGGAAGCATAAAAGAACAGAATTTATCCATTAAAATTCCACATATGGGAAATATTATCTTTGGTCCTTTTGATGAAACCAGCACAATCTGTGCTATAACAAGACCTACTTGAATTATTAAATTCAGCACACGTGCTCTGTCTTTTGGCACCTCACCTGTTTATTTGCCCTGTGGAACGTTCTTCCTACAACCTCCTGTGCTGGGAAGTATGTCTGCTAAGCAGGAGCCTTTCTCAGTCAGATGGACTGGATTCAAGTCAGGTCATTGGTGAGGTTGTGGAGGGGGAGGGATAGAAAGAGTTTTTTAACCATCTTGTTTAAGAAAACATCAAAAAAATAGGCATTTGCAAAATGGAAACCAATGGTTGGTTTTATTTTCTGCTTATTTTTCAGTAATGGGTGGGCTGTAGACGTTGTACATCGTGGATGCATTCTGCAGGTGACTTTTACTTATGCAAGACATTCGTGAGTGCCACTGTGGGCAAAAATATGTGATACATATCAGTTTGACTGAAACAAAGCTGACAAAGCATTGACCGTATCAAAAGTGTATTCTTCATTCCTTTCTTTTAAATTCCCCTTTCTCTCTTGGAACTTAAGTTTTCTTTAATGAAGTCCTATTGTCCTCCTCATGGACTTCCAGGTAATTACAGGCCAGTCAGCCTCACCTCTGTCCCTGGAAAGGTGATGGAACAGATTGTGCTGGATGCCATCTCCAGACAACTGGAAGAAAAGAGGTGTTATCAGGAGTAGTCAGCACGGGTTCACCAGGGGGAGGTCATTCTTGACCAACCTGGTAGCCTTCTATGATGTTGTCACTGGCTGGGTGGATGGGGGGAGAGCAGTGGATGTAGTCTACCTTGATTTCAGCAAGGCATTTGACACTGTCTCCCACGACATCCTTATAACGAAGCTGAGGAAGTGCGGGATAGATGAGTGGACAGTGAGGTGGGTTGAGAACTGGCTGACTGGCAGAGCACAGAGGGTTGTCATTGGCGGTGCAGAGTCTGCTTGGAGACCTGTAACCAGCGGTGTTCCCCAGGGGTCGGTGCTGGGACCGGTCCTGTTCAACATCTTCATCAATGACCTTGATGAGGGGGTAGTGGCCACCCTCAGCAAGTTTGCTGATGATACGAAGTTAGGAGGATTAGCTGACACGCCTGAAGGCTGTGCTGCCATTCAGCGAGACCTGGACAGGCTGGAGAGCTGGGCAGTAAGAAACCAGATGAGGTTTAACAAAAGCAAGTGTAGAGTCTTGCACCTAGGGAGGAATAATTGCATGCACCAGTACAGGTTGGGGGATGAGTTGCTGGAGAGGAGCTCTGCGGAGAGGGACCTGGGTGACCTGGTGGACGACAGGTTGGCCATGAGCCAGCAGTG